CACTAAGACTCCTCTATAGCACCTTTTTGCACTATTGAAAGCTCACCACCTGGGAAGAAGTTTTCAGGTCAGTTGTAGCTTGATGTCTACATGTCTTGCAACCAAAGGGTGTCATGTCTTCATCAGTAAGGTCTTATTATTTAGTAATAGTGGGCAACCAAGAGCAATGGCAGTACCTTTGTTGGTCTGGGGGACTGTAGGATCTCTATGACCTGTAACTAGTAAGGGAGTATCCTATATATGGTGCTGACATTTTCCTTTCATTTCCCATGTCTTTTGGCGGAATCATTGTCCACCCATGCAGGGTACCCATAACAAAATAAAGTCCTTTATTGACTTGTTTCTATCAATCAACTTGAGTGCTTTTTTCCAATAGTGTTTGATCTCTGCTACAATTTTCACTCCTTGAATGCCAATTCTCCACTGTATTTTTATATGCTTTAAGATTTGCTAGATTTTGTCACTTGGGAGAGCTTAGTGGAGTTTACATGACTCAGAAAGTATGAGTATTTATTTATATAAGGTATTTTATTATGTAACATCCTAATTGTAAATTTTAGGTAGACTTAATGTATATTACCCATATGTAACAGGTGCTAAGCTGGCCCTATCCATATGATTAGTTACATATTTATTCCTAATTCAACTGGTAAGGCCCCTAAAGAGCACATTTTCTTTGTTATAGCTCCTTTTACATTCTCAGTTCTCTGTCTGGACACCTGGAAGTGACTTCATCACCATAGTACCTACTACCTGATGTGTTTGTTTTTCCATATTGACTTACTAATTTTTATATCTGAGGAATTTAAAGAGAAGTGTTTTGTTATCCATTTATATTTCCTACTAATGTAGTTGTGATGTTTTGTTATATTTTGTTATATTGTAGATAAAAAAGAACCACGTGTCATGTAACCTAACATCCTTATTGTATACCACAGAGCTGAAATTTAAAGTTAGCTAATATAAGACAGATTCCAGTTACTTTTCTACTGTATTACTATTAATGTTATATCTTTTAAATGTTGTATAGAACAAAATGTAGCTTCTGGTTTTTGAGACCTAATTTATCATCACCACTTAGTGTAAGTTTTTGGTAGGTCTTAATATCAATAGATATGTACATGTTGGTGAATCAGGAAAATTAGAAATTTGTATTTTTCTTATTTTGAAAGACCTTTTCCAGTTGGGTGTTGGTGGTGCACGCTTTTAATCCCAGCAGTCGGGAGGCAGAGGCAGGTGGATCTCTGAGTTCAAGGCCAGCCTGGTCTACAGAGCTATTTCTAGGACAGACTTCAAAGCCACAGAGAAACCCTATCTCAAAAAAAAAAAAAAAAAAAGACCTACCTTTTTCCCCCTTTTATTGAGATTATTACCTGTGGTGGTTTAAGTGAGGATGGCATCCCCATAGGCCCATGTATTTTTAATATTTGTTCCCTAGTTGGTGGAACAGTTTGAGAAGGATTAGAAGGCATGGCGTCCTTCCTGGAGGAGATACAGCAATAGGAACGGGCTTTGAGATTTTAAGGACATGATATTCCCAGTTACAGCTCTCTCTGCCTTGCAGTTGTCTCAGGAGGTGAGCTAGCAGCTACTGCTCCAATGCCATGCCTTCCTGCCTGCGTGCTGCCATGCTCTCCACCGTACTTGTCATAGACACTGCAAGCCCCCCATAAACTCTTTCTTCTGTAAGGTGCCATGGTCATAATGTCTTCACAGCAAAAGAGAAATAATTGAGACAGAAGTTGATACCAGGAAGTGGACTATTGCTCTGACAGGCCTGACTATGTTGTCTGAAGGCCTGTGGAAGACTTTGGAACTTTGGACCAGGAAAATGATGTAACTGTGGGGTCTTGGGGAGGGCGGCTCAAGAGGGCTCAGAGGAAACAATATTAGCAACGAGGCAGAGAATATTCTTAGGATATTTTAGCCAAGAATGTGGCTGCTTTTTTCCTTTGTCCTAAAAATCTGCCCCTAAATTGAAGACGTTTGAACTAATTTTCTTGGTAGAGGAGATTCCAAGACAGCCTAATACTGAATCTGTTACCTGGAATGATTTATATTTATGTATTGTGCCCTTATATGCTGGGAGTATGTAGCTTGATTTTTCCTTTTATTGGGGGTTACCATGAAAAGATTATCTTAGTCTCAGAAGAGACTGGACTTTTAAACTGTGCTGACACAAAAGGACTGGGAAGTTTTGAAGTTGGACTGAAGGAATTTTGATATGGCCATTAGCCTCTGGAGGTTAGGGAATGGAGTGTGGCGGTTTGAATGAGGCTGGGCCCTATGGCTCATATATTTGAATACTTGGTCCCCAGTTGGTAGAGTTTGGGAAAGGATGTGGCCTGCTTGTTAGAGGAGGCATGTATCACTGGGCTGGCTTTGATGTTTCAAAAGTCCATGTCATCCCAGGTAGGCTTGCTCGTGCTTCCCCCTCCCTGGTCTGTCTCTCCCTTTCCCCCTCCCTCTTTCTGTCCATCTCCCAACTGCCCTCCCCCCACCTTTCTGGTTATCCGAAGATGAGCATTCTCAGCTACTGCCCTAGTACCATACCTGCTTACTTGTCTGCTCCCATGCTTCCTGATAGTGATGGATTTACCCACCAAAACTACAAGCCCCCAATAAACTCTTTGTTTTATAAATTGCCTTGGTCATGGTATATTTACAGAAATAGAAAATTAAGATATTACCTCTCCCCTGCCCCCTTTGCAACAGGGTCTTGCTAAGGAGGCTGAACTGGCCTCTAGGGTGCCAGGATAATAGGAGTGTATCATACATAGGCTGATTATTGCTGCTGTATACATTCCTTTTTTTGTTAGTGACAGTGATTCTTCTTTCCCTTGAAGACATTTTTTGATCATGTTTCATGATTTGTGAAAATTAATTCCAGAGATTAGATTTTATTTATCATGTGGTAAACCTATGGCAGCCATTAGGTTTTAAATTTTTTATCGAAAAGATGAGAGGTGATATTATTCTTGCTAAATTGAAGAGAGAAGTAAATAAGTGAACTGTGCTGGCTTTATGAGAGCAATGGTTGTGTTCACCCTTGTGCACAAGTATGTGTCTGGTAACCAGTAGGTATTCAAATAGTCATTCAGGTCATACCAGTAAATTGAATTCGTCTTTTCTGAATGGTTAACTGGGAAAAGAGTGTGCGTGCGTGCGTGCGTGCGTGTGTGTGTGCGTGTGTGCGTGTGTGTGTGTGTGTGCGCGCGCGCAAGTGTGCGCGTGCACATACGTTGTGTGATTAAACCTGTAGCTTTAGGTATGCTAAGACCTACAGTCTCAGGATTGAGACAGAATTATGATATTATCATTAGGTTTTATTTTGTAATGAACATAACAAGTATGTAACTGAAGAAATACACTTTTAAGCAAGTGAACTGGGTGATTTTTTTAACATTTATACTGTTTAATTTTTAAATCATTGCTTTGTATTTAAAAGAATATATGGAAACTCAGGAAGCCTAATAGACTATTAAGCATGTTCTGTTACTGTGACTTATTAGTTTAAAGAAATTTTTACCTTAAAGAACCTAACAAAGTTCAATGTGGAAACTACTTCAGCTTTCGTGGTCCAGGTTAGTGAGACTTCTCTTGAGTAACCCATTTTTATGCCAATATTAGCGGAAGAAAACATCGGGTAAATTTTAGATTTGCTTTTCTAATGTCCAGCTTCACTACTATCCAGACATCTCACCTCCACCTGGGATTACAAACAGTCACTGTTCCCCAGTGAAATAGGGCAGTGGGGTACTAGGCAATTCGAGAACCATCGTTCCCCTGTTACTGCATTTGAACAAAACTTCTTATCAGTCTCTTTTGGATCACTATATAGTTTTTCTGTGAACTTGACCAAAGGACATAGTTTATGGAGTCAAATTGTGTTTTTTTTTTTTTTTTTGAGGAGTTTGGTACATTGAGCAGAAAATATTTTTCTAGTTTCTCTTTATATAAGTGAAGAACTTTCACAATCAGTGAAATTTCAACAGAAGATACACAGGTAATTTTATAGGTTTGCAATTTGCTTTTAGAAAATTACAGGTATGAAAGTAAGTTTAGGTTTAATACTTAATAGAAAATAAATAAATCAGTTGCATAGTGTCCCAAAGAACATAGTTATTTTTCTTTCAAACCATTTCAGCAATAAAATTTGTATGTACATGGTACAGTACTTAATCGGTATACAGATTATAGCTAGCTATCATTTAATTAATTGTGCCCAATGTGTTCAGAATATTTCAATGTAAAAGTCTAATGGATGATTTTAATATAAATATCATATGTACCTATAAAAATGAGTAATTCACAGGATATATGACATGCAGTTTACATAACTACATGGTCTCTTTTTATTGATTGATTAATTTTTTTCAGCTTGATCATAGTATAAACAGATGATCGTAAATTTGGATATTTATATTTTGTGTTGTCTGTTGATAATAAAGCAAGATTCCTTTGATTCTCACTCCCAGATAAGCTCAGGATGATTGGTGACAGTTCTTCATGCCTTGGAACTATTATTAAGATAGATCTGGTTCTGAATTCTTTATATTTATAGTAGATATAAGTAAATAAAAGAAAATTATATATTTCCAAAATATCACTTTGGTTATCCTTGGATTATCATTGTTGTGTTTATACTATTGTCTTTTAGGTCACTGATAACTGTAAGCCTTAGACCATTTTAATTGATAATTTTGCTCATTTTGAAATAAAACATTTTTGGTTTTTCAAGACAGGGTTTCTCTTGTAGCTTTGGAGCCTGTCCTGGAACTAGCTCTTGCACACCAGGCTGGTCTTGAACTCACAAAGATCAGCCTGCCTCTGCCTCCCAAGTGTCGGTATTAAAGGTGTGTACCACCACTGCCCGGCAAAGTACAACTTTTAAATAAGAATTCCCAACTCACCTGTAAGACCTAAGAGACAACATTAAAAATTAAAATTTTGCAATTTAAATTATGAAAGACGTTTAATTGGATTATTTTATGTTTTAGAAAATGGAAGTGTTGTCCAGGTTGGAGAATTGTTGCCCTGTAAGATCTGTGGAAGAACATTCTTTCCACTAGCACTGGTGAGTAGGTGGGATCTAGCCTGTGTGCACTGGGGCCCAGTAGACATGTTTCACGCTTGAGGACAGTTGTTGGGCTGAAGGTTGTGGAGCGTTCACAGAGGGTAATCTTTGAAGATGAGTTTCTTCTGAAAATGATTGAACTTCTGAACTCCGCTTTTAAACGCCAAATCTTCCAGCTTTGTAGGAATATTATGAAATAGAAACACAATGAGGGCAAAGTCCCTCATAAATATAAATGAGAATGTATTAACAAAATGCTATAATCCCTAGAATTTGCTTTTAAAAGTATTCCAGGAGCAGAAATTGTTGAGAAGTGTGATGAACAACTAGAGTCATGCTTTCTGTTTTCTTCCTGTATTTTAAATCATCCAGAGCAAAGGCTTTGTTGTTTCAACAGTATAAAAGTGCAGCTAAAATTGTGTTAATCTCATCTGATTGCCATATAGAAATTGAATAGAAGCATGTTTCATTAATCTTGATAAAGTTACTCAGATATATAGAATAATAATTATACCTTTGTATCCTTTTCAATCTCAAATATAAATGTGCAGTTATTAGTAATCTAATATTAATGTTTTTAAGGTATCAGTCTGCGAACTGGAGTTCTGGCACAGTCCACTGTGTATCTTGCAGGCTGCTAATGTTCAAGAAAGGGAGGAATTAATGCTTGAAAATGTTTTGATTAAGATACCTTCTAAATAACGGCCTTTTTTGTAATCATTTGTACATTCAGCAGTTTCTTCACAAAGGATTTTCAAAATATGCCACTTAGATTCTACAGAAGAAAGCAAATGTTTATTCCCGAGTTAAATGTTTAATTAAATAATGTGAAAGTTTAAAACTACTGCAGTTTGTATACTACAGTTTCTAAGTAGTCACAGCATACACTTGACATATACTGCTAACTTTCCAAGAACAGACATATTTGAGAATACTGGAAAGTTGCCTGCTAGCATTATTTTCGTTACTTAAGAGTAAAATAGAATCAAAAGTAATGGTTAGCACCTGTAATCCTAGTGCATGGAAATCCAAGGAAGGAAGGTAGCTACTACAAGTTTTTAAGGCCATCCTGAGTATAAGTGTAAGTGTGTCAAGAGACAGAGAGAGAGAGAGAGAGAGAGAGAGAGAGAGAGAGAGAGAGAGAGAGAGAGAGAGAGAGAGAGAGAGAGAGAAGACATTTAAAGAATTTATGCTAGGTGATGAAGAGCTGTTTCAGCAGTTAAGAGCACTTGTTGCCCTTGCAAAAGACCCCGGTTCAGTTCCCAGGACTCATATTCAAGGCGTCTTTCAACCCTCTACAACTCCATTTACAGGGACTCCTACAACCTCTCTGGCCTCTGTAGATACCAGGAGTACATGTGGCACACATATACTTACAAGTACATGCTAATACACATAAAAGTACATCTTCAAACCATTTATTTAAGAGCATGTATAGTCCAGTGTTTATTGAAATAAAGCTAAAAACAAATACAAATAGATAGTGGGTTTGTGATTGGCATCAGGACTAAATAAGCCAATTTTCTTCTTTTCCTCAGACAGACACCACAGTGCCATTTTCATGAGCACTTACTAAATGCAAAGGGAACAAAGGTGCATTGAACACACCAACATCAGTCAACAAAATTTCTATAGTGAAGGGAGTTTTTTTTTTTCCCCAGAGAACGGGTTATTTGGAGATTAGCTAAAATAATTTAAAGTGTCATTAAAATGAACAAATGAGTTAGCATTAATTAACAAAACAATGAAGATACAGATACACACTACAAGAAAAGTATTAGATGAAGAAAGTAAACAAGTTCTGGATGGAGGGAAAGGTTTTGAGTTGTAGGAGAGAAGGGATAATTGTATAGGAAGGACATAAATGACCACTGTTTGTTATTTTGGGTTAGTGTTATTAACCTATTTTTATGTTACTCTATGTAATTTAGCTACCAGTGTGGTGCCTTTTATGACCCCAGGACTGAATCATTCTTGCCTTACATTATTTTTTCTCATCTATCTTTTGTGTTTACTCAGGACTTTTCACTGAAATAGCTTTGAATTGTTTCATTATTGCTTATTCTTAGCAACAGTGAAAACTAGAATATTAAATGACTTCTAATAAAATTTTAAGATAGCATTTCTCTATAATTTCCTGAAAGGTGGGGGGGGGGGAGAGCGGTAGGGGACAGAGAAAGGAAAAAGAAAAAGACAGAGAGAGAGGTTTTTTTTTTTTAGTTTTTCGAAACAGGGTTTTCTATATTGTTTTAGAGGCTGTACTGCAACTTCCTGTGGGATTAAAGGCATGTGCCACCAACACCCTTGAGAGTTAGAGAGTTTGTATGTATGTGTTTTAAAGATTAATTAAGGAAAAATAAAATTTCCCATGTGGGTTTATTAAGGTGGTGTATAAGCTGGGCTAAATTTTTTAGTTTTGTGGTCTTCTGTATAAAAGAAAATATGCTGTATTTCTTCTTTTTAACAGAAAAAACATGGGCCCATTTGCCAGAAAACTGCCACTAAAAAAAGGAAGACTTTTGATTCAAGCAGGCAAAGAGCTGAAGGCACTGATATTCCCACAGTCAAACCTCTTAAACCCAGGGTAAGTATATATACTCTGGAACAGTATGAATCTTGTCATTACACTTACGGAAAAAAATCATAATGAATGATGAGTATTATTCTAGGTAGAATAAATAAAATTCCATGTGTGTCTTCAGAATAAATGTCAGAAACCTAAAGCTTATTTTAAATAAGAACAGGTGAATGAATAAAGATGTCATTAATAACAGAAGTGTAAAATTATAAGAGAAACTGGTTTACGGTAGTCAGTCACTGTATAGAACTTCACTGCAAACTAGTTTGAAACTGGACAAGTATTTGAGTGGCTTTCTTAAACTAGCTATGTGCTGGTTTTCTTGTGAATTAACTTGAATAATACATAAAATAAATTTAATAAAGTATTTTGTTTTAAAGTTGAATTGGAACTGGAGAGAGAGCAGTTAAGAGTACTTGGTACTCTTCTATAGGAACCAGGTTCCGTTCCCAGCCCGTGTCCAGTAGTTCATTTTTTTAGAAGACATTATTTGAACTTTGTAAAGAGAAGCTTTTTCCTTTGAGAGAAGCCTTCCTGCCAGGCTGGTTCTAGAGCTGCATCAGTTCCAAATAAACACACAGGAGGCTATATTCATTATGAAGCTGTTGGCCTTGCTTGTTTCTTACTGGCTAGCTCTGACTTAAGTAATTACCCCATAATTGTTAATCTAAGTATTTCTCTTACCGGAGAATAGTTCTGGGCTTCCTACCCCATGGCGTTACATCTTGACTCTCTGTGTTTCTTCTTCCCAGAGTCCTCCTGGACTCCTAGTCCCACCTATCTAGATTCCTATTGGCCAACAGTGCTTTATTGACATAATCACAGGACTTCCCAAATTATCTCCTCTTTTCTGTCTAAACAAAAAGAAAGGTCTTAACTTTAACATAGTCAAATTATATATAAAAGAACAGTTATCAAGTAAGAACATAGTTACAATATTTTGTCTATCAACATTTAGCAAGATTTAAAGAAAATATCATCCATCCCATCCTTGTGAGTCTAAAGTTCTATATGTAGCTTATCTTTTATCATAACTAAGGAAAACTATAATTATAACTATCTGTCTTCAACTGCATCAAAGACCACAGAAGGATAATATATAAACACTAGGATTGACAGAGACATCTTACTGCCTGGACAGTCACCCGAAGTTCCTCTGCAATGTTGGGACATCCACCTTCAGCCCATAGGCCACAATGTGTCCAGAAGATTTCTCAGCAAAGCAGGAAATTTCAAACTGTCCATCTGCATCAGCAGTCTGTCAGTCATTTTTCTTTGTCCTGTAGAAAGGCTCGTAGACTCTTCCATGAAGCAGGAACCCTGTAAGACTGAGTTCAGCAGTCACTTTCCTGTGGGTCCTGCATGTCCAGTTTATACAGCAACAGTCAAACAGTCTAATCTAATCCATAACGAGTTTCTTCGATGCCCATCTTCCTCTCAGACGTAATTGGTGCTGCCAGGAGAAGACATTTCTCATTGTCAAGAAAAACCCTAAACCATTTTAAATGCTATTTTCTGAAGGTCTTTGAAAGGCTTGAAGACTGTATATCTATCTCAAAAATATTTCTGAATATCTAGAAAACCTAACTAACCTAACTTATAGGTTCTGACTGTTATAAGTAACTATCTATAGTCTATATTTAATTATGCATTTTTTTAAAAGATCAGTATAAGCACAATACTTAATCAAGAGGAGAAATATACACATCTCAAAATTGACCTTGAATTTGTATCAAATGAAAAACCATACCCATACCATAATTCCCCTTTTTACCATTAAGAAGAAATTGGCTGTGATCACTAGCTAATTATAAACAATCCCATTTAAATGAAAACAAAGATTTATAAAGAAGATGGGAATTAGAACGTCGTTCATTCCAAACTGCTTCGTGCTGGAAGGGGGCGTTGTTCACACCATGGGGATCATGACAAAACTCAGAAACCTGTATAAGTCCTTAATTTCAGGGTCTGTGAAGCTCCATCATCTTAGCTGTCTCAATTGTTGGAACACTTGGCCCACTGCTTCCGGGGGTCGTGGTTCATCAAACCACAGAAGCCTGGGAGGAATCCTTAGCTTTTCATTTTCTGTAGAAACATAAGCAAAATCTCCTTTCCCAAGTAACATATCCTTATACTTAAATTTTGAAGTCAAGGCATTTTCAAAAGATGGAGGTTGGATTAATTCAGCAGCATTTATAATCAAGTGTACTTTAGCAGCTGTTCCTTCCTGAGCAATCAAAAAACTGAAAAACACAATAGCGTACAGTATCCAGACTCTCTGTCTATTTTCCATCTTTACGTGGCTTATTTATTTATCTATTATTATTACTCTGTTTCTTTTACTTTTATTTCTTTATTTATTTCTCTGAGACAGGGTTTCTCTGGAAATCTGCCTGCCTCTGCCTCTGGAGCAAATCCTACCAGCGTGCGCCACCACAGCCGGCTTCTCTATTTATTTACCACTATGTCGTTTCTTTTTCTGTCTCAATCTTACATATATTTTTAAACACACTGTAAACCTTTATAGGCTTTTCTTCATCCAAATCTGACTTTACTGTGAATCTTTATGTTTTTCTGGCCACGTGTCTTATTTGTTAAAACCGCGGCTGTTTAAACTGCAGTTTTTCCGAGATGGCGGGCGTAAGCGTGATTCCAGCTCATTGCCTCAGTCTATGCTGAGATCCAGCAAAAGCTGCTGGCTTGGAGATGTGGTCTCTGCCACTTCCAGCTGTACATGTAGACCTTTGAATTGTTAGCAGAGCCTCTTAAAAGAACTTTGTGTTTTTTTTTTTTTTCTGAGTAAGCCGCGAGTCTCTGTTTGTCGATAGCAAAACAGAGCCCACCTGAGAAAAATGCTGCTACCAAAAATCTGTGCTTCTCTCTGTTCTGTTTCTAAAATTCCTTTAAAGCTTTTGTCATTCTCTGTGGAATTTATCTTTGTTGTGCATGAGTATTTACAGGGAGTGACACTGCAATGATAAACGGCACACTTGTTGAGGGGATAGGTAACTGCTTATTGTAGAAATTACAAGAGAAAATGGGGAACCCAGATGAGTCAAGTAGTCGTGTGCCCTCCCTCTCCCCCACCGAACCGGAAGCCAAAAAGAGGGCAAGAGGCTCTGATGCTTGGCCTTTTATTGCTTCCTCCGTACATGCCTCTAGCCACACACAAAAGTGGGCCTGGCTAGTGGCGTAGTTCACTGCCCTGTCTCTAGTCATGCCCAAAGTGGGTGTGGTTAGCGGCGCGGTTCTGCCCTTTCGTTACCATATCCCTATGTGTCTCTAGGGCTCCACGTGGTTAATGGTGGATTACCAAGTTTCCCCCCACAAGGGAGGATGTGAGACTTAACAAGGCATCATAAACCAGTATTTGAAGGTTTTCATACTAGGGGCCGTTTGCATGATTACATTAGCTAAAGTAGGTAAATTAGCCATTTATTTGAGACAGTATGTTTCATTAGGTACAGAGGCTGGCGAAAAGAGTAAGAATCCCAGACTGTGATCTGGTTATGTAACATGCTATGCTGACTAGGCAAGTAGTATTATGTATGCTTCTTTTTACTTGCACAATTGTACAGTGTTTATAGAAGTAATGTCTTAGGGAGTTATTGTGGACATCACATAAGATTGTAATATTCAGATGTTACACTGCTTTTTAAATAGTTTTATTTACTCACCTTAAGAATAAAAGCAAAGTAAAACCTATACTGAGTAGTTTATTGCATTGTTCATCCTTAAAGTGTGAACCACGGTGTATTAATAGCAGGATTATTCAAGAACTTGTTAGAAATGCAGGACCCTCATGGATACACACTGAATTAAAATCTGCTGTTTACAAGATCCTTAGGTGAGTCACATACATATTAAAGTTTGAAAAGCAACTAGAAGATGTTAACAGTATAGTATACTTCTTACTGTATTTATTTGTATCAAGGAAATCCTACACAGTCACAAGCACCTGAACAATAGAATACACTCTAGTTTTGGTAAAATTAAAGACAAGACATCATGTATAGATTATGTATTAGAACTGCCTAGAACAATTGAAATCCAGCCTTAACTACCCAAAAAATATGTAGGAAGATTTTGGGATTCTGTGGCTAAGAATGTGACACCATATACTTGAGGGGGTCTTTTCATCTTAAAGGTAATTTCTCTAAGGTGCATTCTTTAAGAATGTATAGCTTTTTAAACAACTACACCATGTTAGACACAAGATAAAGCAGGCAAATGTGAATTGCTCGTTTCTGAAATGGGCAGAGTTAAAGTTGAACAAAAGCCAGAAAGGGGAGATGGGTGGTAGAGTTGAATAGAACAGGCCTGGTGCTAGAGGTTTTCAGATCTCTTCCTGAAAGTCAGAAGCCCAGTTATAAGGTGGTGTCTTTCTAAAAGTGGTTGTCAGAACGGGGGGGGGGGGAGATCACAGCAATAGTACCTATTTCCATAGACATGTAAGAGGCAAGACCTCACAGTTACATGGGGCCTTATTTAGAAGTCCTATGTTCTTTCCCAAAGAAGAGAGTTGTGTCCTGTAACCTCTCAGTCTCCCTGTGCTTTTCTTACCCCCAAACTCTTCCAAGTAGCTGCTGCACCAGCATTGCTGCTCTAGTTGGTGGTGTGAACCTGGAGAAGTGAGCCTAAAGATGAGGCAGACTAAATTCTCCAATAGCCAACTTTATTTAGGGCATTAAACAGTTTATATTCTGAGGGATTCTGGGGGTAAGCTCATGTGAGCAAAGTTCATTTGAGTTCAGGTTGTATATAGTCATAGGGTAATGTCATGAGCTTAGGCTTAATATAGTCAGGAGGGCAGTGTGTACTTGGAAGCCTCATCCAAATAATAATGGGTAACATGATGGGTAACCAAAGAAAAGCCCACTCCTATTATTATACCTGGGAGGGGCATGAAAACACATTCCAAGAACAACCCATGTTATGGAGGAGCAAAGGCTACAAGACTTTTGTTTACTTGGAGTTTTCTCACAAGCTCTCAGAATTCTCTTCTCATAGATCTGTGAAGCTTTATTCATGGGCCTGTTTGCCACACCAGAAAAATCAAATGCATTCAGTGATGAGTAATAAGAAGGTTTTGTTAGCTTGCATTGATACAAATATCTGTAAGGAAACCAAGTAGAAAAGATCAGCACACTTTGCGATTAGGTGACTAATAATGTGGGGCAGATAAAAGTTGCCATTTAACTGTAAAATAAGAAAGTCTTTTTTTGTTTTTGTTTTTCGAGACAGTGTTTCTCTGTATTGTTTTGGAGGCTGTCCTGGAACTCGCTTTGTAGACCAGGCTGGCCTCGAACTCACAGAGTTCCACTTGCCTCTGCCTCATGAGTGCTGGGATTAAAGGTGTGCGTCACCAACGCCCGGCTAAGAAAGTCTTAATGTAAGATTTTTACATGTATATCCATGAGTGAAGTAGGTTTATAATTTTTATTCTAACAGTTTTTGTTGCTCTCATAAAATCTTTTGGGAATATTGCTTTGTTGTTAGACTTTAAAAAACAATTCAGTAGTATAGGCATGTGGACCTGAGAAATTTTTGGCGGAAACATTTTTAAATAATTTACTTTTTAAAATCAAATGTAAGTTTTGTGACATTTGGTGATTGCTGTTTTATTTTGTCAAAATATTTTCCATTTTATATTAATTACCAAATTTCTTGGCAAAGGTTCTCTTTTTTTATACCTCTTCATATAAGAACTATACATCATATGCTGTTTTTAATTTGTAGGTGAGTTTGAGAACTTCATACATTAGCACTATATATACAGTACTCCTGGCTCACCCTTCCTCACCAGCAATTCCTCCCATGCACTGTCCCCACATTCATGATGTCTTCTTTAATTATTATATGTACACTATATGCACACACAAACATTTATGTATCACCTACTGAGCCCATTTAGTATTGGTCAGATGTACATGTATCCAGGGTTGACTTATTTGGGTTAGACAACCTTTATAGGAGCTCATCCCTGGAGAAAATGAATTCCTTTCTCCCAGTAGCCACAAACTATCTGTAGTTCTTCATTTAGGGATTTTCCTCAGCAGCTTTAATATGCCAGCTGGTAGTGTCATTATGCTAGTCTTCTTCAGGTAAGCATATTTAGGTTTTATGGGTGAGTTTTCCTGTCATGTCTGGTGGACACTATCTTGAAGCAGGTGTCCAGATCCTCTGACTCTTGGAATCTTTCTGTCCCCTTTTCTGTGATTTTTCCGTGAGCCTTAGGTATAGCGGGTTGCTAATGACTGTATCATCTAGTTGGCTACCATGGTCATCTGTTCTCTCTGAGTCTCCATCTGCTATAAAAAGAAGCTTCTTAGATGAGATGTAAGAACTTACACTTACCATTCTTGGCATGGATATGGGCTGTTGTGGCCACAGTTAGGCCAGAGAGTTGGGGTTTTAATTTGTATTGTTTAGTTTTGCATTCGTATTTTTTTGCATTCATATTTTTAAATAACTGTCTTTTGACTTGATTGAATGCGTATTCTTGATTTTTAAAAAATGAAGACCTTAAGAATAGTTGAACTCCTGTAAGCTAGCATCATGTTTAGGGGATACGTTGCAGAAGTGGTAGACTCAGCAAACATGGAGCTGGATTCAGTTACAAGCAATGCATGAGATGCTAACTGATAACTTAAACAAAATAAAACTGTGTGCATACATGGCATGTACTCTCTCATATATGGATTTTAGACATAGATCTGGGGAGGGTCAGCCTACAATCCCATGGCCAGAGAGTCTGGGAAACAGAAACTTCATTTAGTGGCTGAGGGAAGAAGAGGCACACTCCCTCAGTTAAGTACTGAGCTGAACTCAAGAAAGCCAGTAACAGAGAGGGAGGACTGATGACCAAAGGGATTAAGACTCAGCTGGTTTAACCCCCAGAAAACAGCTGACCTGACAAAGGTTAACTCTTGAATCCCAGGCATCAGCCTGGGAATCCAGCATGGGACTGATCAAGACCCCCTGAATGTGAGTGTCAGTGAGGAGGCCTAGGTAATCTATTGAGCCTTGGGCAGCAGATCAGTACCCATCCCGAGTATACACACGGACTTTGGACTCCCATCCAACAATGTGAGGTGCACTCTCACCATGAACTCTTGGGGAAGGGTCTAGGCCCTGTCCTATATGAAATGCCAGACTATGGACACCCCCATGGAGGGCCTCACCCTCCCTGGGGAAATGAGGGGATAATGGGGGAGGGTTGGGGGGAGGGCACGGGAGGAGGGGAGGGAAAGGGAGAGGGACCTGGAACTGACTTGTGAAGCAACCTTGTATCTTATCTAAATTTAAACTGAAAAATAAATTAAAAAAAAGAACAAGCCTTCTATGAGGAATACTTGAAATACTAAAAGATGCAAGTGAATACTTCTTCAATTGAGATAACATAAAATGTTCTTATATAGGTCAATTCAGCATAATAAAGATTAGGTTCCCTAAATTATTTATGAATAAAATGTCCCATTTTTCTAGTTAAGCTGATAGTTTTTATTTTAAATGACAAGCCAATTATAAAGATGCCACAGAAAGTACATGTATAAGAAGAAAAAGATTGAGAAATGAACATGAATTAAGATACCCTGTCAAATATCAAATAATGTCGTATGGTTTCAGTATTTGAAATCTTAGTTCTCAAATAAGGATTGTCAAAGCTGTGGAATGAATGAGAATATTCAGGTATAGATCTACACTCATGTGTTTTGTTCATGGTGAATGTTTTATCTCAGTTTTGGGATGGGGTGGAGTAGGGAGTTGAGGGATACAGAAACTACAGCATGAGTCTCTATGCCACACTGTGTACCAGGATGAATAAAATACACAATGAATAAAAGTTAAACAAAACAAAATAACACTCTAAGGAAACTAGTAAATTAGTTAACAGTTTTAAAATAATTCTGCATATCAAAAGATCTACAGGCTCACAGGACTTGGAGAGCAAAGGAGTAATTTCCTCTGCACCTAGGAAGAATTATTCCAAAAAGCCTAAAAGCCAGGGAAAGAAGTTGACTAGGAATGTGAACCATTCACAGAATGAGTTCAAATGTCTAAGTGAGGTGATGAAAGCATCTTCAGTCTCAAATTCCTAAAAGGAAATCGAATGAAATTCACAGACAACTTGTTTTCCACCCCTAAAGCCAGTTGAAATCCTTTAGTTTTGGTAAATTTTATTGTAGAAAGGTTGAGAAAGAGTAGGAATACAAATAGGCTGTTCACCTGTAGAGGACACCTGGACAGTATCTGCCTTAAGTAAAATCTTATTTACAAACTGTGCAATGTGATTGCAATGTTCTCTTGGATTTAAAATAATATGTATTTCAGTATATTAAAAATCTATTTTGATGTTGCTTTTTCCTTATTTCTAGCCAGAACCACCAAAGAAACCATCTAATTGGAGAAGAAAGCATGAGGAGTTCATTGCCACCATAAGAGCAGCCAAAGGCCTTGATCAGGCCCTGAAAGAGGGCGGCAAGCTTCCGCCCCCTCCTCCACCGTCTTATGACCCTGGTATGTGGACTGTTGTTGACAGAAATGTTCGTGTGGCCAAAGGTTGATAGCATTCATTTTTCAGTGGGTATACAATAATTTTTATGCTGAAACCCAATGACAAGTAATCTTTACTTTGGTCAAATCATTGTGATAATCCAAGCATCTGGTATATCCCTAGAGAGCAATAGAAACACTATTTTTTTTAATCACAATGCTTTTAATTAAGCATAATCTTTATGTCTTAAAATTATAAATATAAAATTATTAGTAATATAGAAAGTCAATCATGCTTATTACACATTCATTCGAATTCAAATAGTTATGTTGCTCGGTTCTTTGGTATCTTGCCTGAAAAGAAAGTTACACTTCTAAAATATATAATTAATTCAGAGCCTGTGGTATAGACCAATTGCCTAAATTATGTTTTAAAAATAATAATATTGTTATAGTTTCTTCTGGGAAACTAGAAGTTATAATGCTAATTATTATCAAACTAAAATTTTATATATAATAAATACATGAACTATTGAGATAGACATAAAGTAGTAGAATTTACAGTTTTCTCTTGGATATTAGAACATCCTCAACAGGTAGTTACTTTAACCTAAACAGTCACATTAAAATTGAATTGATGTTCTAGATTGGTGTTTACTTCCTATCAAAGAGAATGTTTCTTAGGCAACCTGGATGTAATTAAACATTTTATGCTAGAGGACACATTTGCCATCTATTTCAGTAGAAGACTGAGTTTTAGGTATTGGATATGGTTGAGGCTACTGATAAACCTACTTAGCTTTTTCATGGTATAAGCCACAGATAAGTAAATGAGTGAGTAGATTTATATTTAAAAAAAAGGAAAACAACAAAAATCTTTGTTTACCAGATTGGGCAGTAGGCAGACCGGATTACATTAACGGGCTGTAATTTGCCGTCTCCTGAAGTGTGGATGATTCTGTGCGTTTCTGGGGTAATCCATCTGGACTGCCTAGATCCCTTCTTAGTCTGCATTATGTTCCATGAAGTTGAGCTCCCCGCTCCAGAAACCTTTCCAGACTTTGTCTTAGCTTCTTAGCTTTTCATGTCTGTGTAAGTAATGAAGCCGGGTCGTTGGGGTAATCTGGGCTGTAGGAAATCTTTCAGGGTTTGAACTTGATGCTAGATGTTTTATACTGCTCCATTAGTAAGTAGGAAATATTTCTGAGGTTTAAAATATGTCAGTGTAGGTTTGAGTTTTAAAGTACTTCTTCCATTTCTTTGTTTTACAAAATAAATTTCTTGGCAGCCTTGATTTCTTCAAAAAGATTTTTTACTTTAATCTGCAAATGAATTTATATTTTAATGTGTGTTTTACTGTTTAAGTGCCATATAAAGTTTATGCCCATGATGAAAGCAAATAATACTTTCCTTTTACTGTTTATTTTCTACTGACACTTTATTTTTTATTCTATTTTTCTTCAACTTTCCTCAGATTGATTCAAATGCAGGAGATAGAATTGGTTTCTGGACTTTTTCTTAAATATCTTTACTATGTTTAGGTTAGTCTGGTTGGATACTGTATGGGAATGGGATCATGCTTATCAGATATCATTATTTATATTATTTATTCATCCTGAACTGCTGATCATAAAAGTCTTTACTGTCCATCACAGGTGGCCTGTTACTAACTTCTTTCTCCTTTGATGTGCTCTAGATTACATCCAGTGTCCATATTGCCAGAGGAGGTTCAATGAAAATGCAGCGGATAGACATATCAATTTTTGTAAAGAACAGGCAGCGCGTATTAGTAATAAGGGCAAATTTTCTACTGAGTCCAAAGGAAAGCCAACTGCTCGGCCACAGGTGAAATGCATGGTTTAAATTATGTCTACAAATTAGTGAAAAAGTGCCTCTTTCAGAGTCACAGTTTTATAGTTATGATCTATAACATTACAGTTTTCCCATTGTCTAAAATGTATGTGTTACTGCTAAGGGCTTTGATACAAAATTTGAATGACTACTTGAGAAAAAAATAGCACAAATTAATTTATTTGAAAGATATTTTGTTCAGTAGGGACTCATTCCTTTCTCTAGTATTGTTATAGTTTCATTTTATAAATCTTTTTTATTCAGTTTAAGATATATTCTAGGTCGGGCGTTGGTGGCGCACGCCTTTAATCCCTGCACTCGGGAGGCAGAGGCAGGCAGATCTCTGTGAGTTCGAGGCCGGGCTGGTCCGACAGCCTCCAGAACAATACAGAGAAACCCTGTCTCATAAAAACCAAAAAAAAAAAAAAAAAAAGACCCTAAGATAAATTCTAATTTTTATCTTTTTATTCATAGTTCATTTCAAGTAAATCATTTATTGGCAAATAATTATAGTGTTCTAGATATAATTTGTTTATTTTAAATTCTGTTTTAGTTCAAGAATGTGTTCGCCAAAGTTTTTATGCTTTTAAAATGTTTTCTGTTACCTTGTGTGTGGTCTTAGGGTATATGCTACATGGCATCTGGAATAAAATGCTTGTTTTACAGTTGTGTGTTGAGATTTATAAATGCCAGGCTGAACTGACTGATTCTTACTGACATTTCTTTTGATTTTCACATCAATTATAGACGATTTGTTAAAATCTTTAGCTTTGATTATTGTATTTTGTATTTCTCATTAATTTTGCCTCCTGCATATCACATACTTGGAAAATTTTTTAGATTGTAGTAGTATGTACAATTGTAATCCATAATATCCAATGCCCTATTTATTGGCCCCTTAGTGTATCTTTTTTCTGGTGATTTTATTTTATCTCATAAGAAAATTAGTCATTTCAACATACGATTCTTAGTTTTGCTCACATATTTTCTTTCATTTCTTTAACTTTTCAATACGTTTTTGCCAGACTATTTTTTTTCCTTTGTCTAGTAAGTACCTCAGGTCTTTTGTTTGGACATATACAAGAAATATAATTATTCTTAGTAAATTGTTTTAGGTTTTTCATGCTTCTGCCTTCAGTTTCTTTCATATACACAAACACATGTGCATTATTCTGCTACTTTATCTTTTTTGCTAAATAAAAAGTCAGTCTTTGTTATGGTTACTTTTCTACTTCTTTGACACTGTCTTTCTGGAAACAAATTAATTGGTGTCAGTTTGGCTGACTAACTTTATTTATACATCTGGTTTCTGTGCTATCTCTGTGCTGGCAGGTGTTTGGCACAATCTCAGATGGAGTTGGAATGGCAGTTTCTTCTCACCCAATCTAAAATTCAGTGCTTTTAAAATGGTTTTCATATAATTGTATATATGTTTTGTAGTTGCCTGAGACATTTACAGCTTTTGTAAAAGATTTGGTCTACTCAAACATTTTTATCAAAAATAAACTTGTTTTGATTTCTATATTAGGATACTTCATTTTATTAATGTGAACATTTGGCTTAACCGGTTTTAAGTGTGTACTCAGTGTTGCTAAGTTTATTCCGATACTGCATAATTGTTATCACCATCTATCTCTATCCTATAAAACAAAAATTCTGTCTTCGACCTTCTGAGGAGTTGAATTACAGTTTGCATTCCCTGATAACAAAATGATGTTGATATATTTTCACTATTTTAGTATAAGCCATCTCCACTTAAAAAATCCAATTCTCCTGGAACTATATCGTCAGGATCTTCCCGACTACCACAGCCCAGCACTACTAGCAAAACTGTTGTAGGTAATGAAATCCATATGGCAAACTAAATAAACAAAGACAGCCATGTTTTTTATGTGTGTGTTGTGTGTGTGTGTGTAAGGAAATGACAATGGTGGCCTGTTGAAGATTATTAAAAAGAATTGTAAGAAATTTAGATTAATTGTTTTTTCTGGGTAAAATTGAAATATCATTGAGTAGCTTCTACAACCAAGTTTTTTTTTTATTGATTTCTTGAAAGGCCACACATTTCTTATACCTGACCTTGACAGCTCTTCCTGTAAGACAAGTACTACTGGCTTAAAAGAAAACCTCAAGTGGGGAGTTATTTGTGTGTCAGTGATGAGATAAACATGAGAGAGAACATATTCCTCATTAGTAGTTGAAAATTATTTGTAACTATAGGCACAAAGAGTGTTGATAAGGAACTGTTTTCCTCAGTAGAGGCTCTGTTTTGTATGACTTTTCTTTCAGACTATTCTTAAAACTAATACCTTTTTTATTATAAGGTGTGCCTTCGGGTAAAGCATCTTCAGTTAACAGTTCTTTGGGAAACAAACTGCAGACCTTATCTCCTTCTCATAAATCAATAGCAGCCCCTCAGGCAGGGTAAGTCTATGTTTAATGTGTTATTGGTGCTATGTATTTAATTGCATCAGTGTTTTTGGTTTGTCCTTAATATTTTTCCTAAGCTTGTTTGTTTCTATTAGCATACTGCTGGTAAGGAGAGAATTCAGTAATGCTATTGAGAAATCTTAGTATAACTTTCAGAGAAATACAGTTGGTATTCATCAAGATCCTTAAAGAGTTGTGTGTGAGTGTGTGTGTGGGGGAGAGAGAGAGAGAGAGAGAGAGAGAGAGAGAGAGAGAGAGAGAGAGAGAGAGAGAGAGTCAACAGTTTTATTTTGGGGCATCTAAGAAATAATGTAAAACATTGGAGGTTTAGTAATGGCTATAATATGTTGAGTACTATATAATAGACAGTGTGCTCCACATTTTGCATAGGATTTAATTAAGTCTTCTCTGTAGTCATGGAGTAACTCAGAGAATCAGATTTGTTTAAAGCTGTAGAATGTTTCAGAAAAGCCAGGTGCGGATTGAAATTTCTCTGACTAGACAACAGTCAAGTGTTTTTATTGTAATGCATAAAATCACCTAGTGAATAGTTTTGATAGGATAGTATATAGAGAAACATAAAGATATTTGGCAACCATAAAGATATATATGAATGCATTTTCATAATGATTTTGCCATGAGAAAAGTGTAGGGTACAGAATTCAAAATGGAATTTTCATCATACACCTCCATCGTATGAAGTGTGTATGTTGGAACTGGAACTAAAAATATGCTTAGGCAAAATGGCAGAATATACTAAATTACCAGTCTGAGGTGAGACTATTCAGACTATTCACTAATAATTTTCCTATATGTCTATCATTTTATATAGATGCATTTTAGTGAAATATAGCTTCTGCGTTCATTGTAATGTTGGAAACCTTGTTGGTAACATTAGTTAATTATCTGGATACTTATTTCATAGATTTACTTCGCTCTCTGTTGATGAATCACAAGGTTAAGGGATTGCCACAAAACCCACAGTACAGACACTCTTGTCTTTGTGTACATATGTGGTTGGTTGAAGAATCAGTTCACATTATTTTGGGGTGTACTTTATCTCTGACTCACGGTCACTTATTTTCATGAAGAAAATTTACAGAGGAATAATTGTCAGTTGTCATTAAGCGTCTTTTTCTCACTCAATGAAGACAGCATAGGAAATCGAAGATATACAAAGACTTTGAATCTGGGGAGATGAATCAGTGTGTAAAGTGTGAGTACCTGAGTTGAAATCCCAGAACCCATGTAAGAACTATACATGATGATACACATGACTGTAATCCATCATTCTGCAGGGAATATGGGAGGCAGAGACAGAAAACTCCTGGGAAGCTCACTGACCAACCAACCTGATAAGCATAGCAGCAAACAAGGGACATTCTGGAAAAAGGCAGAGGCTACGGCCAGTTCTAGCTGTTGTCCTCTTACCTTCATCTTTGAACCATAGCACATGTGTGCCTATGCTTACTCACACCAGTGTGTGTACACATACACACAGATATCACTTACCCATATACAGAAAACAATTTCATGTGATGATGATATAATTCAGTGGTGGGACAGTTGGCTAGAGTGTGCAAAGCCTTGGGCTCAGTTCTCAGCATCACCAAAAAGAAAGCAAATAATCAAGACTACAGAATAGAAAAAGAACAAAAACCAACTAACAGTATACTAACAAAGTACAATAAATTGTCTTTTTCTTATTTCATCTTCTGGTGGTTAAAAAAACCAAAGCAATACTGACTTCTTTTTGTCTTCTCTACATAGTGATGCATAGGCACAGCAGTTAATTCTACAAAGCCTTCCTACCATAACCAAGACAATTACCTTTACTTGGGCTATAGTCTTTTTAGTGTTTTGGTTATAGTTGATTATACGTTACAAGGCAGTATTTTTCAATACTTCTTTTATATGGATGATCTTTTGCCATATTAAGTTACACTACAATGTTTTAAGTGGGCTGTGCACATAAAGCTGGCCAGTAGAATTTTTGAAAAAGAATTTTGGGGTTGGGACGCTGGTTCAGTGGTTAAAGTACATGAGGTACAAGCTTGAGATCTAGAGTTCTGATCCCAGAAGTCATGCAACACTAAGTGGGCATAGTGGTTGTTTGCATGTAATTCCAGCTCTGGAGGTGCCTCCTCAGTCCCCTAGTTAAGCTGGCTAACAAGACTACTCTTATAAATGGCTCTTCAATAGAGAACAGTTATGGATGATTCGTGATACCAACCTCAGTCCTCCACATGCCTGTACAAATACATGCATGTACACCCAGACAGACAGGCATGCACCCATACACATCCAAAAATAGCCAAACAAAAATGTGGACACATAATGCAAATACCACACACATAAGAAAGACAGAGACAGGAACAGTGAGCACACAATAGCAAGTGAGTGAGCACACTCACCATGGAGTCAGAAAACCAGGTCTTGAGTTCTACTGTGGCACCAAGTAGGTAGGTAGGTATGTAACAGTGTATCTCTATGACACTGCTTTCTGACTGCGTTTAGACTTTGATTACTGATGTAAAAAAGCTGACCAACTATATGATCCCTAAGAGAAAAATGTTTTTACTAACAGAGATTTTGAACACTGCTTATCATGCATGAAAATTGATCACTTCGGTTATCACATATCATTAAACTGGCAGTCATATGTGTTTACATTCTACTGGTCTATATAGAAAAGCCTTCTACTTTGAAAAGTAGTTATTGCTTACTTCTGGTCAATAGATTTACTGTACTAATTGAAGTATTACTATGTTCCTGTTATGTTTTAGTTAGAACCACTCAGCAACTCTATTTAGTGCCAGCCACTGTTGTGGGAATTCTGTCAGCCAATAGTCTTTGAGGTACCAGCCCCTTTGTGGCAGGGTCTCAGAGGCTATATGTAGACTCGGAGCAGTCTGACACTCTTGGGTAGTGGTCAGAAGGCGGATGGCAGCATCTAGCCGCCAAGAGCAGAAGACTTTGGTGGTTCCCTACCTTGCATTTATGAGACTCCCCAATAAATACATGAGTTCCCTTTATCTGGTAATTCGTGGATTCTATTACAATTGTCCATTACAAGCTACCATTTCTGTTTTAGAAATTTTGGAACAGTGATTCATTTGATTGTTTCCTTGGTAAATTGTAAATACCATTATGAAGAAATCAACAGTGCAAAACAAACAAAAAACCCACAAAAAGCCTGATGTTGGTGGCACTCAGGAGGCAGAGGCAAGTGTATCTCTGTGAGTTCGAAGCCAGCCTGGTCTACAGAGCAACTTCCAGGACAGCCTCCAAAACAATATAGAGAAACCCTGTCTCGCAAAACAAAACAACAACAACAAAAACCCAGAAAACAAAAAAGCAAAAAACAACAACAAAAAAGAGAAAAACCACAAGAAACACCCTAACTAAATTCCTAGCATTTTTAGGAGTTGGGTGATAAAACTAATGAACTGATAAAATCACGTTTATCAACTGTAAACTTGGTTCATCCTAGAGTGGTGGTCCTGGTGAAGAATTACATAAAGTTTACATGGCAACAGTCTTTTTCATTTATGCATTGGTTCCAGATTGAGTGAAGGTCAGATTAAGACATTTAGTCAGTTGTAACATTGAAGGTTTGGACATTACCTGAGATTGATAAATGCTAGTAATTGATGTTTCTACAGTTGTTTCAAGTATGCTGTTTATAACCTTTAGTATAGTTTACTCATGTATGCTGGTCTTATCCTACATTGGGATTATAACATTTTAATATTTGTACTTGGAAAAATTCTTATGTTTGATAACTTGTAGTGAATTTTTACATTTTTTTAAATAACAAAAACACTCAACTAGAATTTTTCAACAGAATTCTAAAAGATAGTTTTATTTAGCCCCAGAAAATTTCAAAAATATGAGGCAATACTGAGTTATTGAATATTGTCATCTTTGAATAAGATCACAGAACTGTCACAGCTTACGGTGTGCTTTCTTTTTTTATTTTTAAAGTAATCATATTTTACATACCAATCCCAGTTCCCTCTCCCTCCTGTCCTCTATTCCCCGGACCATCTCCACCCCCACACTCCCATCCCCTTCTCAGAGAGGGTGAGGCCTCCCATGGGGAATCATAAAAGTCTGTCACATCATTTGGAATAGGACTGAGGCCCTCCCCCCGTGTCTGGATTGAGCAAGGTATTCCTCCATAGGGAATGGGCTCCAAAAAGCCAGTTCATGCGCTAGGGACAAATACTGGGTTCACTAACAGTGGCCTCCTACACTATGCAAGCTTCCCAACTGTCACCCACATTGAGGAGCCCTAGTTCTGTCCTCTTCAGGTTCCCTAGCTGTCTGGAGTCAGTGAGCTCCCACTGCTCAGGTCAGCTGTTTCTGTGGGGTTCCCCAACAGGGTCTTCACCCCTTTGCTCATGTTATCACTCTAACAATTCCAGGAGTTCAGCCTGCTTCTTAGCTGTGGGTCTCTGCTTCTGCTTCCATCAGTTTCAGGATGAAGGCTTTATGATTGTAATGAAGGTAGTGAAGGTATCCTCTACACTATTTATTGCTTAGATTCTTCTTAGTTGGGGTCATCCTTGTGGATTCCTGGGAATTTCCCTAGTGCTGGGTTTCTCACTAGCCCCATAATGGCTCCCTGTATCGAAGCGTCTCTTTCCTTGCTCTCTTTCCCCCTCTGCCTTTCCCCAACTCGACCTTCCTGATCCCTCATGTTCTCCTCCATCATTTTCAATAGTTGAATTTATGTCTTTCAATAATTTACTTCAGTTACTATAGGAAAAAATGGGGTAAAACATATAGCTACAGAGTACATAAAGAGTATTGTGAGTGTGGGTGGACATGTGGACACAAATTGCGTGAGTGCGTGCGTGCATGTGTAGGCTGAGGTCAGGGTTGGTTGCCTTTATCTTCTCACTTTTTGAAACAGGGTCTGTCATCGAACCTGTAGTTCATAAATTTTGCTAGTCTGGCTGGCCAGAGCCAGAGGGATCCTCCACTCATCACCCAGAACAGGTGCACAAAATGATGCTCAGCTTTTTATAGGGTTTCAGGGATTCAAACCCATGTTCTAGTGCTTCTGCCTCAAGCAGTTTATTGATTGAGACCTCTCCCCAGCCCTGGAGAGCACCTTTTAATTGAAAATTGAAGTTGATTTTGAACACTTTGTTATATTAAATTAGCAGGAAATAAATGTCTAGTTTTCATTTGATAGAAATGCGTTCCTTTAAATTGTTTTCTTTTACATTTATTCATTTTGTGTGTGTGTGTGCATACCAAAGCATACATGGAGAAGTCATAAGACAACTTCTGGGAAATAGGTTTTTTTTTTTTTATTTTTACCATGTACACCCTGGGGATTGAGCTCAGGTCATTAATTAGACTTAGCTAACAGCACTTTTATCTGCTGAGTCATCTTGCCAACCCAGAAATCTGTTTCTTTTGTAAAATAATTTTCTGGTGTATGAACCTAGCTTGTTGTGTGGTTTAAGAATGATTGAAGTTATTGATTTAAGGTGATTTCTGTATTAAGGAGTTGTTATACAAAATTATCTGTGATGGATTAGAATTTAGATCAATATTTATCCACCTATATGGATCATTGTAAATCTTTGAATGCCACAGGATTCTAACTACAGAGATCCACATATGACAGATGCCACCCGATAGTTTTTTCCAGTACACTTCCCAAAGTCATCTCTTGATTATGTAACACTCTGTGAGGTTTTCTGCAGTTACAGACTTGTTATAGGCAGGCAATTTATTTCTCAGTGGACTTACTTTCATATCAGTAGTAAACAAGGAACTTTTCTTAAGTTGAAATTTACTTCATCAGGAAGAGGTTGAGATCATTACCAAATATTTTCTCAGTGGTCATTCAGCTATGAAGTCTTTGAAAATTCAAAAATATATAAGATCTTGGTAATTAATTGACATTTATAAATTTTAGTTTGTGTACACAACTTAACAATAGGAGATTGTGACATTTGCCCCAATCACGTTTAGTAATATTTACTCTAAGATGCATTTGAATTTTGTGTCTGTCAAAAGCAATCATTTATATAGTCACTATATAAATTTTTATATAGTGGGTTTGTATTACATTGAGTTGGATTTATAACTCACATATCTGGCAGAAATCATTTCTGGGACCCACCTTTCAATTAGGTAAACATATTTTCAACTGTACCATGTATATAGAACAGGAAACAGGATAATCACCTTGATTTTTATGTATCTTTTTTTGATTCACATGTAGAATTTAGCTACTTATTATCATAATTAAAGAAGCTGTTTATATTTAAAATAATATGTACAGTTTGTGTGTTCTGTGTATGGTGCCGAGGGTTAAATCAAGGGCCTTAAGTGTGCTAAGATGAAGTTTTCTTAAAGTCTAAATTCAGTAACTGTTTCTCTGAGACAGATGTCACCCATCATTCATATCTCACAGATGCCTTTTTAGAGATAGGGTCTGTGACAATATTGCTTTGACAGTTTTTAACATTTTCATAATTCAAAGCATAAAAATGACCAATTAGACTTGGAAGTCATTGGGTTGTTTTATAATGTTATAAATTAGAGATAAACTTAATCTCAAGGACTTATAGGAATTATGTTTAAGACATTTACTGAAGGTTGTTTGTAACATACATATTGTTACGTGCATTTAGCACCAACTTTGATGCATCGACAGAAACCATCAAATGGCTAACGTTGCTTCTGAGAGATTCTTACATTCTGGAAAGATGAACAGACCCTTTTGGATAGTAATTGCTTCAAGAACAAGCATCAGCTCTTTGGTTTATTACTCAGTTATCAGATTAGCAATGTCTTCAGGGCTTACTGAGATAAATGTGAAAAAATAAAAACAGAAGTGAGAGCAGATATCTATTTATGGAATATATATGTTCTTGTGTATGTAATGTGTGTGTGAGAGAGAGACAAAGAGACAGAGACAGAGAGACAGAGACATACACACACACACACACGAGAGAGAGAGAGAGAGAGAGAGAGAGAGAGAGAGAGAGAGAGAGAGAGAGAGAGAGAGAGAGAGAGAGAGAGAGAATCTCACTGATAAGTTTTGGCTGGCTTAGGACTCACTATGAAGACTAGGCTAAGCTCAAACTCAAAGTTATCCTCCTGCCTGTTCCTCTGGAATGCTGGAATTAAAGACATGTACCTTCAACACCTAGCTCAAGAATATATTTAATGTTAGAGATGGAATGTTTCTTACCAATAATTTAAGATAATTTTCTATTTTACTAATTTTCCTGTTCTCTCCCATAAGTGAATATTTGTTGGTGATAATATATGATTTGAATGTATGGCTAATATAAAACAAGGTGTCCTACAAATCTGCAGTTAGCACTAGTATCCGCTAGATGGAGATATTTTGTACTTTAGGTTGAAAAAGGTTTCACAATGGTGTTTTACCTGTGATGCTTAGAATAATCACATCTTTTAAAGTATAGACCATGTTTGCCCTTTTCACTATATACATTTCAGAAATAAACTCGTACCTTATTGGAAAATGAGACAAGATAAATATGTAAGCATTCTATACGCAATTATATCTTTCAAATACAAGGGCAATTATAAAGTAAAATAATAGAGAAGAAGGGCTCTTCCATTTCAGGGAAAATGAAAATTATTTGTGAATAACTGCTTAAAGTTCACTTCTAGCTTCACACTAAACTGTTAGTGCCTAATTCATTCCCCACTCTGGATAAATGTGGCAACTGCATGGAAACTGGCAGGGTGGTCTTAATGGTCACAACTTACAGGTTGATTGATGGGTACTTTATGAACTCAGAAATCTGTGATATGTGCTTTTCTCCTGGCATTCAATTATTTAAGGGAAGTGGGTGGTTTCTAGTGAACCAGAATGTCTTTTTCTGAAGAAAATAATCCTTATATCTACATAGTTCTTTAGAGGCAAACAGTCGGTAGCAATCTCCTTATGGGTACACCTTTATATATTTTGATAGTAAGATGGACAAGTTAGGCCCTCCACTTCGAACTGGAAGACATGTGCAAAGGTTGTATGACAGAGATACAAAGTCAGACAGTGCCTTCAAAAGACATGAGTTATTACCCATTTACAAGTAAGTATTTATAATGCAGTTTGGTTGGTCTTTATCAGATATTTCTTACAGGCTTTATGATATAGACTACTATAATTATTTTTACCTTCTATGTAAAAGTAAATTTAAGCCATTTAAGTGCTAAATGGCCTTATAAGCCATAAAATATTTTTATTGTTATTATTAAGTATTTCTACTCCAATTAACATTGATCATACCTTTTCCATTTAATATTAATTTTAGAAGATATTGTAGCAGTCACCTTCAACACTTATTTTTGGGGATGCTAGGATGTTAGGAGTAGTAGCTTTATAAAGAAGTGTATAGGACAAATTACATAATCAAACAGATGATGAAGTATAGCTAGAGGAAAAAAGATCATAGGAAGCAGCCAAATGAGTCATAGTCCCTCTTTAGTTGTTTATAATTCCTACCCAGGAGAGGAATGAAACTGCTAGATACCTGTCTCTCCTGGACTGCTCACCAAGAAGACTGGCAATCACAGTCACTCTTGAAACAGTAGCATGAAATGTCAGAATTCACAGATGTGGGTTTCAGTATCTATCCAATTCAGTCCTCATTCTTAAATGATAAAATTAGGATGTAACAAATGAATGTCTGTTAAAATTTAAAAATATTAGTGAGGTTAACAGTGTATCCTGTTTATTCATCATGAAATATAGTGATAAATTCAAATAGGCATGCAATGAAACAGATACAGGAAATATTCTCTCAGCATGGCTGCTTCTAAGTAGTTAATGATCATTTATGGAAGGAAGACATTGTTTTCTGGTCGTTGAATTGATGCAGATATCAGGGGAAATGGTTTAGGAAAAAGATGATGTGTAATTTCATAATTAGTCTATGTTTTTATATGTTTGAACTATAGCACATTAAGTTTACATATAGACTGAGGGTAAATACTTACCATATTGTGGCCAGAAAGAAAATGTTTTGAGTGTGTGAACATGTGTTAAGAATTGATCAGTTGTTTCAGAATGACTTTTGACAGTCAGATTTCATCTCTTGGAAGATATTAAAAAACAATAGGCATATAATATAGCTATCTAGGTTGATAATCATATATTTTACATTTACAGATGATATCCAAGGTATTTTTAGCTATGTACCTTAGACACATTATATGAAGGTAATAATTAATATGCCTGGCAATACTTGTAGAGCTTTTAAAAAAGAAAACAAAACAAACAATATTTCCTACCCCCTGACAATTTTCTTTATATGGAGATTAACTTAGAAAGGCACAATTCCAGTCCTACTTTACAAAACTAGAATAGAATAAGCCTCACAGATAGACTTGGGGGACCATTTGAAGAAGTCTTGGGTATCTCATCAGTGCACCAAAGTGTTTGTTTGCTTATTGAAGAAGTAACTACAGGGAGGAACCGTTCTTAGTTGTAGCATTGGGTATTGAATATAGGATCTGTAGTATTATCCACTAAATGCTAATCTGACCACATAATAGCATTACAGCTTACACAGTCTGTAAACACAGGTTCTCTAAGCCAGGCATATGCCACAATATATTTATGCAATATCTCAAAAAACAAAATGTCTACATGGAATGGAATGACATCTTCATTCTTAGTATGCTGAGTATTTGGAGAATAGTTATTACATGCATAATAGTAGTTATTCAACCTATTAGGGATACTTCCAACTTTACCATATAAATAAGTAGAGTAGGAAGAATTCCAGCCAAAGATTGGGAACTGTTAAAGAATTTTTCCATTTTTTTCCATTTATATTACAAAATTGCTTTTTTGCAAAATGCAGTTAGTCTTTAAAGAAGAGAAAGGACTGATGCATTACTGACTCTCTTGAATATTGACTTTGTGTCATACTACTAGAGTCACCTGGGTTAAGTTATTCAAGAGTTTTTTTGTCTCCTTTAATTCATCTGTAACATGAAATTATCTATTAGAATTAGATAAACTTATTTGTGCAAAACAAATGTATTTAGTATGTAGTCATAACTATCAAAAGTGTGTATGTGGGACTGGAGGGATACCTCAGCAGTTAAGTCCCAGCTAGACTCTCTAGTAAATGCTGCTCTTCCAGAGGACTTGGGTTCAATTCCAAGTACCTGCGTTGCAGCTCACAACTGTCTGTAGCTCTAGTTTCAGGGGATCTGACACCCTACAGACATGCATGCAGGCAAACCCCAATAAAAGCGAATCGTTAAAAAAATTTTAATAAGTTAACATGTAGTGGCAGTATCAATAGTAGTAGTAGTATAATCAACATGCTGCACTTTTATATGAATATATCTTAAAATCTTTCTGTAATGTGAATGATCAATTTACCAATGAGTAAATTCAAGTTATCATTATTACTATTGTTACAAAGTTGTTTGGTAACAGTGGAATTTTAATCTAAACTTACCCAATCTCATAGCCTCCCCTGTTAATCTATCTTAGTTCAGATGTCTAAAGTTTGCAAGTCTCACTTATGTCAGATGTTTCAGCCTATACAGTTAGTGAAATTAAATCTATATTTATTTTTAGTTATTCTAAGAACTTCCATGAAATGAATATTATCATTTAAAGTAGCTAGAAAATTTTCTTATTTTAACCATATCCTGAATTCTTAGGCTAGCAATGATACTTGTTTAATGCTTGCTTAGGAGTTGTCTATAAACAGTTAACAGTGTCCATGTTGTGAGCAATAATAAATGACACTTTTTAACTAGGCTTTTAAAATGAAATTTTCTATGAGACATTAGTAATATTTTGAACTATGTTTTATTTTATGAAGGTAATGTTATATAATGTATCATTAATATTGACTAACACTACTTGTTTTCAGATTAGAATTACTACTTGGAAATTTATTCTTTTGGACTGCTCTACAGCCCGTTTTTCTACTGATATAAAATAAATCATGAAACATTCATTTTAATACTTGTTTCTCATGTTATCACTTTCTCTCTTCCAGAGCTAACGTCAAATCTCGAAATATTACACCTCCAAGCTTGGCAAGAAATTCTGTGGCAGGTGTGCTTACCAACAAAAGAAAAACTTTTACTGACAGTTACGTAGCCAGGTACGTTTAGCTTACCTGATAGTTAGAATGAAAATTAATATATGCAGTTAAGTTCTATACACAAAACATAGGTAATATGCTATGTATGATCTAGTTTTCTCTTTATTGTAGAACTCAATATGGCATTCATATGGACAAGAAATTATTGACACATCAATACCATTTTCTTATACTTTATCTTTGTAAATACTCTGTTTCATGTTTAGTTTTATTGGATTTATTTAGCTTTTTCTTTTAGTTTTTTTTCTTGCATGTTTAAATATCAAGTGCAGTTTTAACTGTACAGATAAACCTTATGAATATCACTATTGTAGTTTCCCATATTTTGATTTTTAAGCCTATCCTGAAAAGACTTAATATGTACACATACATACATGCACGCAAGCACACACATGTACACACACACACACAGAGAAAGAGAGGGGTGACAGAGATTGGTTAGCATTATTTTTGAAGAGAGGGAGACAGAGAGATTGGTTAACATTTTTGAAGGAAAGGACAGAAGATAGAAAAATGACAATTAAAGATAAGTTGAAAGTTAGCAGTAAGTTTGTCAGTAAGATGTGTGCCACGAGACCCTGTCTACACGTGAGCCATGGGCTACGAACGGTATTTTGAAATTTGTAGTAGTGAGGGGCCAATGACTGTAGAAATAATTGTTCCTAATGTCTCTAAAGACTACATATGTTCTGAAAATGAGTACTTAGTCTGAAGGTTTTAAAACCTGCTAGGGGCTTCCTTCATGAGGAAGGGAGTAGGGAATATCATAAGTAACTTGAGAAATACCCTTATTATAAACCTGGGATAAGTTTCATAGTGTGATGTGTATGTTGTAAGAGTATATTAGCTGCTTTGTCTCAAGTGTGTAACATACCCAGCTCTGCAGAATTCTGATTTAACTCAGGGATAGGTTCCAATCCTCGATAATGTCCCCTCAACCTTAGCTGCCTATCAGTGTCATCTGAGAACTTCTTAAAACTGAAGAGACAGTGAGAATTTTTAGATCTTTTGCTTTAAAAGTGAGCATCTGCTATAGAAAGAGCTTTAAGAGTGATGAGTCATTAACGAGGTTCATGTGAACAACAAGGGAAAACACGAATTACTATGTTCCCAGCTAGACTTTTGAGTAAATGCTGTTTGTCTCTGCTGGGGTCTTGATGCATGTCAGATATCAAAGACATGAGCCTCTGTTTTGTGGAGATCTGAAATTGGCTTTACCATGATACATATACCCATTTACATATGCATGTTTCCATGTATTTCAAATCAAAGTTGAAAGTAGGATTAATATTCTCTTATACTTAATAAATTAAAAAATATGTGTATATCCACATATATACTTTAGTATTATAAAATGTCATATACAGAAAAGTGATCATAAGCTGGGCGGTGGTGGCGCATGCCTTTAGTCCCAGCACTCGGGAGGCAGAGGCCAGTGGATCTCTGTGAGTTTGAGGCCAGCCTGGTCTATAAGAGCTAATTCAAGGACAGCCTCCAAAGGACACAGAGAAAGAAAGAAAAGTGATAAAAAAAAAAATGCTAACAAGCAGGAGCATAAGCTTCACAGTAAGAAATGTTTTTTACTGTCTTAAATGACTGATATCTGAGAAGAATTCAAAACCTTTCTCCTTTTTAACACGTTTACATCTCATGTGGTAACAATTATGAATGTAACAGACCTAGATTTCTGAGATACTTCTTTTCTTAGAAAATAGCAAATTGTACAGTCTCAAAATTGTTCTCGGTGAAACACCCAGAAATGTGGGATATATATATGACCAATTATTAGGTAAATATTAATATTTAGCATATTTTTGATTAGAGATTGGTATATTAGATTAGTATATTAAATGTTATAATCTTTTTCTCAGCAATAAGTAGGAAATAGTTTTTATAAAAATCTGCTGAACACACAAATTTGATTTGCATGGGAATCAATTTGAAGATCATGAAGATTATGTAAGTAGATATAAATATGCCCTTTTCACAAAATAAAATATTTAGTACCAAAATTCCATCTTGAAGAGCTTTTATACCAATTACTAAATTAACATACATATTAATGTTTTCAGATAATTAATGAATTTTAATTAATCATTTTGAAAATACGTGTGAAGAACAAAGGCCTAAAACTAACCAGGACAAGACAAGTGATGTATAAAGTTGCAGTGGTTCAGGTGGTTTAATATTGATCTGTGGATAAGCAAATAGAATGAAATGATTAGATTGCCCCATTTCAGAGGAAGCATTGCATGTGTTTAGAGTAGAGTATTCTGGAACTAACAAATTTGCCCATATGAGGGAAAATCAGTTAAGATGCTGGGCCTGCAGAGCAGATTACAGCACTTACTGTGTTTATGTCTGCTTGAGTATGAACACACACACACACACACACACAGACACAGAGAGAGAGAGAGAGAGAGGGAGGGAGGGAGGGAGGGAGGGAGGGAGGGAGGGAGAGAGGAGACTAAATGCCTGAGTATGGAAAGTAAAGCCATTAAGATTTTAGAAAACCAGGAAGTCATTATCTAATGCAGGAAGGATTTCTTAAATAATTTAGTAAATACCAATTTACAGCAAAGGATACATTTGATCATACTGAAGTGAAAACAAATACAGTGAATTGAAATCAGACAACGCATTGCAAATGTGTCCAAGCCTTTGCCACTGGGGCACTGTGTTGTCATTTACAAAGTTTGTTTTTCGTATAACTGCAGTTGATTTATCAAAAATTGCAAAAATGAAATTTTATAATTTTACAATAAGCTTGTGATTTTTGTGTTGAGTCCTATTTATAACTGTCATGAGTGAGACCCATGGACACTGAGTTGGACTTGCCTGACTGACAATGATATGTGGGGATTTCCTACAACTAGAATTAGGGTGAACCCATATAATTATTAACTCTGGAGCTTGGGGCGAGGAGAGGACAGGAGCAGTATATTGCCAGTAGAAAAAACACTATTGCCAGAGAAATGTGAAAGGATATTTAGCCTCACAAACAGGAATATATGTATAGTAAAACTACACAGGTAACCATTTTATACTTACCAGGTGAACACAATACATTGGTAGAAAATGTGATAATCAAGACACTTGTGTGTTCCAGTTGGAGCAACTGTGTGCAGAATTTAGTAATACCTAGTAAAGTTGAAGTTTTAGTATTATATGAAATATTTACTAATGGGTATTCATGATGAGTAAATGATTTTTTTACATCTTGAATTAATTCTTACATATTTCACTGGAAGAAAGCCAGAAATTTTCCCTGTTACTCTCTTGATTAATATTACATATACATCATAATTCATTTAATATTGTATTTGTGGTTTGCAAGGGTTATACTGCACTGTAATTTACTCTCAATATCTAACAGTGTGTGTGTCTCCATGCAGAGAACTTTAGTGATTATACAAACTATTCCTCCTGGGATACAGTCAGGGGAGATTACTGAGTATTAAAACACACAAGATGGTGATGTTTGCTTGATTTTCATCTTGGAGTTTTAAGTCCATAGCAGCTTGTAGCCTTGTGCCTTTACCACCCCACATCTGGAATTACAGGGGCGTTTTACTATGTACGCCCCAGAGATTGTTTTATACTTTGAACTAGAGGAATATTAAAATTCACATTAAGATTTCAGTTTCTGTGTATTAGTTATTCCCTGTTCTTCACTAGATTGTGTTAATAACTACTACTGTGAATGAAATTGATTCCTGCTTTTCCTTCTCTACTTCTGTAGACCAGATGGAGACTATACATCTTCAATTAATGGCGGAAACATTAAAGGCATTGAGGGAAACTCATCTGGACACTTACCAAAATTCTGCCATGAATGTGGGACAAAATACCCTGTTGAATGGGCAAAGTTCTGCTGCGAATGTGGCATTCGACGAATGATTCTGTGAACAGAATCTCAAGAGCTAAGGGACCAGGCTCACAATTTGATAATTATTGCTGCTTTGACACCCAGGGCACTTCTTTTAGCTATGCAGTGCTAAAGCTATTTACACACCCTTTGGAACATAATCCTTTGGCTGTATAGTGTGTGTGTGTGTGTGTGTATCTATCTATCTATCTATATATATATATGTATGTATGTATATTCTGTATATAATAAATCTGTTTCCTCCAGCTTGTGCCATTTGAAGAAATACTTAAGTATCTGTCAAAAATAAGTTGGTTGAGATCATTGTCTTAGGTATTGCTCTTTAGTTGTTTAAACACATTAATATACTTGCACAAGTACTCTCACTCTAGTGATGAGCCTTAAAGCTTTAGGATAATCACATCTCTGAACAAGAACTCAGAACAGATGCTGTTAGTGGTGTCTATCACCGGTAGCACCATAGGACAATGGGATGCTGTAGATTCAGTTATTGAAGAGAATCTTGTTTAGTCATTACCAATTGATGCAACGTCATTTTCCCAGCTGAACTCTTCTGCAACTAGTGTTAAGTTCCTAAACAATGATGAAAAGGAAAATCTGAGGTCCATGTTGCCAGTGACGTCCTGGATTACTAATTACATAACCTAATTAAATTGTTAAATGTGTTATACTCATTCTTTGAACGTGAAATTATGCTATCTCCTTTTCAGAAATAACTGAGCATATAAATGTATTTTACTCTGCTTTTAACTGAATGATTAATTTACCTCCATCTCATTTGGACACATTTTCTCTGCACTTCCAATTGTGTGCAGAGATCTTGTTTTTCCTTCTTTTGACATAACTCCTTTGAAAAGTAGTTTTAGTTTACTACTACAGTCTTTGCAGTATTAAATATAATTATTTAAGGTACATAATTTTTTGTAAAATCTTACATGTTTAAAATTGCATTTCTGTGTATGTTTATAGGAAATTAATACGTCTAAAACAATCAACCTTCCCAATAAATGATAATTGTGATAACTCATTAATTCTGAGCATGCAGGCGAAGCTATTTCTTAATTCCTCATGGTTCATATAGTTATAAATACATTGGAAGAATGTCTAGTTTTTCCTATTCACATTTTCTTTAGTGCTTACTGTTGAAATACTATGTATATTACAGAGGAAATGCACTGAAATGTTTTAAATAACTGGCTTACACAAGCACAGCTACAATGTAGTTCTGTTTCACTTTCTCTAGAGCAGCACTTACTGGCAGGCCGCTTTGGCAGAGTGTGTTCCATAGTCCTATAGTAATGGCTGTTCAGTCTGAACTTTACCATATAAAGGTACCAGTAACATTTTGTGTTGATGTGTTTCCTACCTTATTGTGTGTTAGAATGGTTGTAGAAATTCATTGCTTAGGATTTCACTTCTGAAATTTGTTTACTTCGTTCTTTTTGTTTTAATTTGTGAAGGGATTTTAAATGTGTGATAATGTCATCATTTTGTTCACCTCATACTTCCTTTCTTACTATATTTTCCCCTTGTTCTATTTGATCATACAGATAAACAAATTCAAAACTAGTCATCGTGAATAAGCAGGCTAATTTAAGAATACAATTTAGGTTTTCATTTTAGTAATTCCTTTTTTGTTTAATTGGTTATAAATATATAAAGAACTTTCAATTCATCAAATCATCTTTATCTAGGAATGAGCACTATTTCTTTTAATTGTATTTTTAACTCATGTAGTCCTTTATTCTACTTAAAGAAGGTCTGGATAAATCTGTTTTAAATAAACAGACATGTTTGTCATTGACTTCTACAGTAGCAAGTGTTAAAAGATTACTTCCAAGAGATAAACTGATCAAACACATTGAGTTCCAGAGCCCAGAGAGCACAATAAAAAGCAACTTGGTTAAATGCATGTTACAATTTTTAACAGGTTTTTATGGTCCATATTTTACTCTCATGTTGACGTGTTGTGCAATAGTTTTTAAGCAGTCTTCCTACACACCATTCATTTTTCTTTATTTGCACAATTATTTGTGAGTGTGATAGAATGAAAAGTGATTGTAAGGTTAAATTAAAATGGAGTATTACTTATAGATTATTCTGAAAGTTACTCGAAAAAGTTTAAACAGTTGTGACCACTGTTGTCTCTTATTCATTGTTTTTTAAATTATAAAGGATATATTCATTTTGGATCAATAAAGGTACAAAACAAATTGTTCCTTGTTATATTTATTGATATCTTTTAGAATGATAGGAAAAAACTAGAATACTAAAAATATCCTTTTATACAGTAGTTTTTGAATTGCCATTTTATGACTTTAAGAAAACCTTTGTTACAAGGTTTTAAAGCTTTTTATTGAATCCCTGTGAATTTCACTTCATGCATCCAGATCCCATCCGTTTCCCTGCTCCCTAGATTCCATCCTGTGCCCTTGCAACTTCCCCCAAAACAAAATTTAAAAGTAAAAACAAAAAAAAGGAAATCTCAGCGTAGAGGCTGGAGTGTGGTCCATAGAGCCACACAGTATACCCTTTAGTCCGTACATTTTTACTTGCAAATGTTCATTGCAATGAGTCATTGATCTAGTTTGAGGCTTCTGACTTCTGCTATGCTATCAATACTGGATCCTCATCGGGACTTCTCTTGGATATATTATTGTTGCTTGTGTCCTGGAGATCCTGTAGCTTTGGATCTGCAGGTCTTGCCCCCTCACATGCTACAGGAATTATAGATGAAGTGGGTCTTGGGGTGGGTTACCTTGTAGTACTGGTTCTGGGCCTGGGTAGTGGTTGGGTAGATCAGCCTGCCAGCCTTCCGTCATTGTCACCATCCAGGAGAACTGTAGCAGACAGCAAGGAGCCAGCCAGTTCAGACACTCTCTCTGGTACAGCCCACCTCTGTTCACACTGTCAGGGCCAGCTCTGGGTTTTTTTTTTTTTTTTTTTTATCCAGGAGAGTTACAGGGCCCACTCTGGAATGGTACAGTTGGTGAGGGGCAGGGCAAGCTCTTTTGTTTTCATGCCTCAGGTGGGCTCTCTTGTTGCAGGTGGCAAGGGGTTGAGGGGGAAGGCAGCTAGCTGTACTGCTCTTATTCCCACAGGCCAGGCTCACCGATGCTTGCCAGCAGGGTCAGTTCAGGTATGCTGCCCAGGCAAGGTGTCAATTGTATCAGTGCTTTCCTTTGGGCTGCCAGCTCACAAATAGAGATAAGGAGGCTTATTATTAATTATGAAGGTTCAGCCTGTAGCTTAAGCTTCTTCCTAACTAGCGCTTGTAACTTAAATTAGCCTATTTATATTAATCTATGTTCTATCACATGGTGTTACCTCTCTTAATGTTGTAACCCCTGTTTCCTCCCTGTGTCTCCTGGCTTCTCCTGAACTTCTGAATTCCTCCTCTTTCTCTTCCTGGATGTCCTGCCTAAACGTCTTGCCTAGCTATTTGGCCATTCAGCTTTTTAATCCACCAATTGCAGCAATACACCTTCACACAGTGTACAAATACCCCACAGCATCCTGCTGCTACCCTGTGTGCTGCAGCTGGTGAGAGATGGGGACAATTCTCCCACACTTGTGGCCCCAGGGCCAGCTCTCTCACCTGCCACACAAGGCTTGAGGGGAGGGAGGGCAGTTTTCTTACAAGATTGTTAAGGTATAGAAATACTGTTTTTTATACCCAACAATGTTTTAAAATTGAAAGCGGTAATATTTCTAGATAAATACTGTATAGTTTAATGGAAAAATACTGATAATGAATAGCAAAAGACTAGATTATACTTTAAATTTTAAGACAAGTGCTGTATCTAATGAAAATATGGATTTTAGACACATTTCATTTGTATTCAGTTTTTTTTTTCCTAAGCTAAAGGTGAATGCTTTTTACTAGGAATAGAAGCTCAAATAGTAAAAATCTAGTAGGAAAAAGCCCACAAGAAAGACGTCATCGCAACGGTTTGCATTTATTTACTTATGTTGAACAGACATGTATTTTATATGGTATTTTCAATACTGAGGTCAGATGATTTTTGAAATGGGTTATGTTATTGAATATACCTGGGAATAGGTTAAAGTTAGAGGTATAACACTCACTTTATTTTTACTTAGAAACATTTTCATTAAATATTGAAATATTCCAGATTAGGAAAAGATATTCACTAACCCCACATCTGACAGAGGGCTGATCTCCAAAGTTTACAAAGAACTCAATAAGCTATTCTCCAAAACACCAAAGGACCCAATTAAAAACTGGGGGACTGAACTAATTAGAGAATTCTCAATAGAGTAGTCTAAAATGGCAGAGATACTTAAGAAAGTGTTCAACATCCTTAGCCATTAGGGAAATACAAATAAAAAAAATCCAGGCATAACCTTACTCCTGTCAGAATGTCTAAAATCAAAAACACCAATGACAGCTTATGCTGGAGAAGATGTGGAGAAAGGGGAACACTCATCCATTGTTGTACAGCCCCTTTGGAAATTAGTATGGAGATTCCTCAGGAAAATGGTAATCGGTCTACCACACAACCCAGCAATTCCACTCTTAGGCATATACCCAAAAGATGCCTATTCATACAACAAGGATGCCTGCTCCACTATGTTCATAGCAGCATTTGTAATAGCTAGATCCTGGAAGCAACCTAGATGCTCCACAACTGAAGAGTGTATAGAGACAATGTGGTACATTTACACAATGGAGTACTACTCAGCGGAAAAAATAACAGAATCTTGAAATTTGCAGGCAAATGGACGGCACTAGAAGAAACCACCCTGAGTGAGGTAACCCAGTCACAAAAAGACAAACATGGTATGTACTCACTCATATATGGATTTTAGACATGGATCAGGGGAGTGTTAGCCTACAATCCCAGGGCCAGTGAGTCTGGGAAACAGGGAGGTTCCCAAGAGATATACATGATACCCCAGAGAAGTGGAAAGAGGCAAGATCTCTTGAGCAGACTGGGAACATGGGGGGAAAGGAGAGGGAACCAGGAAAAAGAGAGGGAAATAAGAGGAGGGTAGAAGAAGACATGGGGGAGCAGGAAGGTTGAGTCTGGGTAAGAATAGAGGAGACCCGGATGAGAGATACCATAATAGTAGGAGTCATTATAACTTTGAGGAGAGATCTGGCACTAGTGAGACTTGCAGAGATCTACAAGGATAACACCAACTGGAAAACTAAGTAATTGCGGAGAGACTACATTAATAGCCCCTACCTGATGATAAGGTTGATGACTTCCTTATATGACATCCTAGAACCTTCATCCAGTGACTGATGGATGCAGAGACAGATACCCACAGCTAAACACTGAACTGACCCCCTGGAACCCAGTGACAGAGATGTACAAGTGATGAGCAAAGGGGTCAAGACTGTGCTGGTGAAAGCCACAAAGACAGCTGACTGGACAAGGGGGAGCTCTTGAACCCCAAACTGATGGCTGAGCTGCCAACGAGACTGATCCAGACTCCATGAATGTAGTGTAAGTGAGGAGGTCTCAGAAATCTCTGGGGCCTTAGTGTTCACCATGGCATACGAATGAACTTTGGGAGCCCCCTCCACATGGAGGGATGCTCTCTCAGCCTGGACACATGGGGAAGGGCCTAGGTCCTGCCCTGGATGAAATGACAGACTCTGGAGATCCCCCCAAGGAGGGCCTCACCCTCCCTGGGGAATGATGTAGGGATTGGGCTGGGGGTGGGTGGTGGGTGTGGGACTGGTGGAGGGAGAAGCAGGGAGAGCTGGGACTGACATTTGAAGCATGCATGTTTCTAACTTAAAATAAAAAAGTTTTAGTTAAATAAAACACATTTATAGAAAAAAACATTGAAATATTCATCATTTAAACACTTTCTGTTACATGTGAATTGCTTTGCTTGCCACTAGAGGGTGCATTTGTATAATTTACTATTCCTTGTCCCAGTTTTAAAGGTCTCTCAGTTTTCATTTGAAACATGAAATTTCAGAGGTTTATGAGTAGTTTTTTGGTGCTTATGTTAGTTTTAGAGATTCGTATATTGATATCATAAAATGCTAGTGTAAGCCATTTGCTGTACCACCATGGGAGTAACTAAAAGCAGTAATATCTATTGCCTTTCAATAATTTTCAGCAAAATACCACCCTAGAATATTGCCTGCTGACTATTGTTTTAACACTTCACCTTAGTTGTATATGAGTATGATGGGTAAAGGTAACAAACATATTTAATTGCTAAGAAAAATGCTTTTAAATTGTGCATAAATACTCCAATTATTTTAAAACAGCACAAATAAAAGTCATGAAACATTTTCCCTTGTTTTTTGTTTGCTTCTACTAGAAGAATATTTGGTGAATTTTATTTAAATTTCATATTGTTTACTTTCTAAATGAATATGTGGTATGTTCATACACTGTATGAAGCAGATAAAGAGGATTATGTTACAGTTTTCATAATTAGTCACTCAAGTGTGACAGTATCCTATCTAATGCTGCTGCCCCTTCCTTTGATTCAAGCATCAACAGGTGTAAATGACACCTTCGTGATCTAGTTAAGCTAATTCATTTTTGCAGTAATTTACTGTGAAAAATGCAGTTAAGTCCAAGTACAATTTTAATGGAATTAAATAGTTTTCCTGAATTTCACTCAAGAAACTGCTAAAAAGTCTGTTTTGTTATACTCTTTCAGTGAATTTTACTCTACTTGATAATAGAAGTTAAACCTTGAATACTTAGTAGATGTTTCTCTTGCTTCTGTTGACTTGAGTTTTGTGCAGTTTTGAAATAATTCGTTTTTTTCTGCTGATTTTTGTCTCCCAGTAATTTTGGTCAAGAAATGTACTTTAAAATGTAGAAAGATATTTTGTTTAGCTATCTCTTCAAACTTACACTGCTCGTGGGGAAATGTCATGTGAACGTCACAAAACAGGAGTTTTAAATTTTAGTTTAAACACTTCATTTCTCAACTCTTTGAAAGATCCACTTAATTAGTGTTTCAATATAAAAAATTAGGATACACTGTACTATAAGGTAAAATCAAAATTCCACTTAAGTGGGTGTGACATATATTCCCTTCTGACACTCTTGGTCCATTTAGAAAATATTGCCATAGTTGCCTTGTGTCTGTAAAATAACTGATTCTCCCTTGATACTTTTGGCCATGGATCTCATTATTATGGGTGAATGACTTAGACTAAGTTGAAGACAATAAGCATGTAAGAAATTAAACACAACCTAAGTGA